CCCTGACAGGACCGAGTGGCTCTGGGTCTTGCCTCCCAAAGGCCAACTGGATAGTCCATCATTAGTCCTGGGGGGGGGGCAAATTTACCTCCCTCAGTGCAGGCACGCAACTTGGGTGTCCTCCTGGACTCACAGCTAAATTTGGAACAACATCTATCGGCTGTGGCCAGGGGGACCTTTGCCCAGGTTCGCCTGGTGCACCAGTTGCGGCCTTATCTGGACCGAGAGGCTTTACTCACAGTCACTCATGCCCTCATCACCTCAAGACTGGATTACTGTAATGCGCTCTACATGGGGCTACCCTTGAAGAGTGTTCGGAGGCTGCAGTTGGTTCAGAATGCAGCCGCGAGAGCGATTGTGGGCGCGCCAAGGTACGCCCACGTGTCACCTATCCTCCGCGAGCTGCACTGGCTTCCTGTGGGTCTCCGGATGCAATTCAAGGTGTTGGTTATCACCTTTAAAGCTCTTCATGGCATAGGGCCAGGTTACTTACAGGACCGCATTCTGCCGCATAGTTCCCAGAGACCGGTGAAGTCCCATAGATTGGGCCTCCTTCAGGTCCCATCGGCCAGACAATGTCAGCTGGCGGGCCCTCGGGGAAGGGCCTTTTCTGTGGTGGCTCCGACCTGGTGGAATCAACTTCCCCCCCGAGGTTCGAACTACTCCCACCCTGCCGGCATTTACAAAAGCCGTTAAAACTCTCCTGTTCCGGCAGGCCTGGGGCTGATGTCCCCGGGGGGGGGGGGGGGCAGGATATGATTGGACTCGCGGTATGACTGTATTATTTTATTATTTTATTGTTTTATGATTGTTTTAACTCTGTACGCCACCCTGAGTCCTTTGGGATTGGGCGGCATATAAATAAAATTAAATACAAATACAATAATAAAGCACAATTGCTGGTTTTACCGAACATGCTAATGCACCATTAGTCAAACTGTATGGAGCTTAGTAAATTGTACAAAAGTGGCAGGGATAGAGTACCCTCGTAGCTTTGAACAGCGTGCATTGTACTCGGAGAATGTTGAAAAATTCCATAGGTTTTCCAGCTGTTGTTTGTTAGCTGTGCTATTGACTCTCTGCACATCCTGAGCTTGGCATTTGTAGTTAAAAGTATTAGTTATTGATTGAAACAAGTACAAAAGCCACTGCAGTCCTTCACCACCTTCCTAGAGAGACACGGGTTGGGGACAGGAAGCATGTATTAGTGTTCAGTTGAATACAGACTTGTCGATTTAGTTTGCGTCTATTAGAGAAATGGCGGACAACAGAAAATCTTTGTTGTTCTCAGTGAGAAGGGGAGCTTTTTAAGGGTGGGGATCAGAAGGGAAGCAGCCTCCCCCCAGCTGTGGCTGCTGCATTGTTCTTTCTTTTTGTGCTCTGCGTGTCTTAGAGGAGGTGTTTATATTATCCTGGGGCTGAGCAAACAGGAAAAACAGCCAAAGAGCAGGAAGCAGATGGGAGAAGCTTGGAAAAGCTGGAGCTTTGACTCTAATTGGAGAGGAGATTTATGGGGGCAGGTAGCAGCTGTTCAGACAGATGAAATTCCATTGACCAAACAAATAAGCGAGCAGGAGGTGGAAGGAGTTGAAAGATTACAAAAAGCTCAAAGTTTTCCTTTGGGCTTAACTAGCTCTTAAAGAAATATGAAACTGCTTCAGAAGATGTTCAGATATAGTGAGAAAGGCTATAGTCCTAGCCTACATGTTTTTTTAAAACTAAAACCAGAATACAGTTCCTGGTTTTTGCAAGTCCCCAAATATGGTCAGCTGACAGAGGTTGTATCTCTCTTCTTTCAGCAACCAATCTGCGAGCAGACTTGGGAGATACTTTGCTGTGAAAATTTGGGTCAAGTCAGCTTTCTTGACTACAGATTGCCCACAATTCTCTTATTTCCATACAGTGCAAACACGGACTGAGATTATGTCTAACCAGATCATATAAGCCTTCCCCAAATCCCTGGGTAGAGGTTTCTATGACCTTTAGTGCCTTCCTACCAACTGGGATTATATCCTTAAACCAGGGTTTCTCAACCGTGGAAACTTTTAAGATGCTTGGGCTTCAACTCGAGTTGACGCTAAGGAATTCTGGGAGTTGAAGTCCACACATCTTTAAATTCCCAAAATTGAGAAATCTGAAAGAGTCTCAAGAATGGATGGATACTTTTTATTTTTAACTTATTGACCTACACCTGCCTTATCCTTGGCCTGCAAAGCCTTCTTTCTGGTCAACCAAATGTGTAACATATAAAGATCAATGAGAGAAGAAAACACTTGGAAAATTGTTGGGATTTTGGTGTTTTCTGTGCTTGGCAGTTACCTTATAGACATTTTGTTAACTTTCTTAGTAAGTTCAGTGATTAACATCAGCATAGGTAAGATTGCCCAGCTCACAAAGAGCTATGTTTATTTTCCATTATCACAACAATTGAAAAATTACTGGGCCATGGTGATGCAGTGATTAGAATGCAATATGGCAGACTAAATTCTGCCCACAGCCTGGAGTTTGACTCTGACCAGCTCAAAGTTGACTCAGCTTCGATCCTTCTGAGGTCGGTAAAGTGACCCAGATTGTTGGGGGCCCTAAGCTGACTCTGTAAGCTGCTTAGAGAGGCTGTAAAGCACTATGTAGTGGTATATAAGCCTAAGCGCTATTACGGGGTTCCTCACTGGCACCTTAATGATGCCAAAATGATGTGTCCAGCATCACAAAAGTCCACTGTGCCTATTTGTGTCCTAACATCTGGCACAAATCCATTACTTGCAGCATTTGATGATATTGTACATTTTGGTCCTTGCACTCTCACAGATGTTCACGTTCTCCACATTCCTTCAAGGGTATTTCCCCTACCATCCCCCATGGGTTGCTGTGACTCGCCCATCAAATCCACAGAGCTTCATCAGTTAAACCACAGCACAACTTTTAATACACAATAGACAAGTACAAAATGATGGGGGTTTTAGAACAGAGAAGTGGGAGTTGGTTGCGTTGGAGAGGGAAAAATATTCACAAAAGTAAGTGCAGTACTGTACATCTCTGTATTGCAAAAATTGTTGCAGATGTGGTTTTGTGGGCTACAGGCACTATCCCCTTGCGAATGAGGTTCCATACACCGACAGTCCTTGACTTACAACCATTCGTTTGATGAGCAAAATTACAACAGCACTGAAAAAAAAGTGACTTATGATCTTTTTTCACGCTTACAACTACCACAGCATCCCCATGGCCATGTGATCAAAATTTGGACACTTGACAACTGGCATGTACTTATGACGGTTGCAGGATCCTGGGGTCATGTGATCACTTTTTGCGACCTTCTGACAAACAAAAGTCAATGGAGAAGCCAAACTCACTTAACAACTGTGTTATTATCTAAACAACTGCAGTGATTCACCGGCGTGAAAGGTTGTAAAAAGGAGCAAAACTCACTTAACGATTGCCTTGCTTAGCCACAGAAATGTTTGGCTCAGTTGTGGTTGTGAGTTGAGGACTACCTCTATTTGGTATGTTGAAAGTTATTGGCTACTGTGCCCATTGCCGATACTGAAAACGGATTGACAGTATTTGTGTAAAGGAATATTTGCTGCAGAACAGTCACACCCTGGTTTCTCTCCATTCCTTCTACCTGGGCTGGGGTCACTATATCTTTGGAATGATATAAATACTTTGTTTAAATCCTGATTTATGCACATAGAGGAGTGCACATACATCAGTGTTGCAAAAAGTGAGCTGTTTCTTCCACCCAAACGGTCTTGCCTTTCAGCAAGTGAATTCAGCATTTAAAACTAGAAACACAGTTCTTTAAACACTGGAAAAAAGGGGGTTTTTTTTAAAGGGAAGCATCATCGTTGATAAGAACTATTTAGTAGCAGAGCAATCTGTCTTGGACAGCAGCGAGTTCTCAGAGGTCCTCAAAGAGGGAGAATGTCTGGTATGAGAACTGCAGGTGCAAGATTTCTACACTGGATGGGGTTTGTCTAGATTGTTTCTAAGGACCCTTTCAGATCCATCATTTAATGGGATACATTAAAGTGGGAGACACAAGGACACACTCACACTTGAGGGATAACTTTCCCCCTTTGCTCTACAGCAGAGTTTCCCAACCTCGGCATCTTTAAGATGGGTGGACTTCAACTCCCAGAATTTCCCAGCCAGCATGCTAGGGATGGTGATTCTGGAAGTTGAAGTCCACCCATCTTAAAATTGCAGAAGTTGAGAAACACTGTTCTACTGGAGCAAGATCCTTTAGTCTATATCAGGGGTAGGCAACCCAAAACACTTAAAGAGCCACTTGGACCCGTTTCCCACCAAAAACAAAACACCGGGAGCCGCAAAACCATTTTGATATCTAAAATGAAGATAACACTGCATATATCCTTTTTTACCTTTATTATAGGTGTGTGTGTGTGTGTGTGTGTGTGTGTTTGTGTGTGTATGTATGTGTGTGTGTGTGTATATGTATGTATGTATGTATGTATATATATATATATATACATACAGACACACATACACACACAGGTAAAAAAAGGATATATCCAGTGTTATCTTCATTTTAGATGTCAAAAGGGTCTCTCTCTCTCTCTATCTGCCCTTGGTCTGCCTGCCACTCCTCTTCCCCGGCTCTCTTTCTTTCTCTCTCTGTCTCTTTCCTCTCTCTCTCTCTCTCTCCCTCTCTCTCTTTCTCTCTCTCTCTTTCTCCCCCCCCCCTCCTATCTGCTGCTCACCTGACAAGCTTCAGGCTGTTGTCCAACAAGATCAGGGGTAGACAACCTCGTCTCTTTTATGACTCATGGACTTCAACTCCCAGAATTCCTGAGTCAGCCTAGCTGGGCTAGCTAGCTCTCTCCTGCCCTTCCTTCTTCCTGCAGAGACGCAGCAAAGGGAGGAGCTCCGCCCAGTAAGCTTTTCAGCTCCTCGGAAAACACTGTGAGTGCACTCTCTTTTTTTTACACACACACACACACACACAGAGAGAGAGAGAGAGAGAGAGAGAGAGCAGGGAAGCGCAATTCCTCTCTCTGTCTCTGTCTCTCTCTGCAAAGGCAGAGGAGGCTGGGAGCCGCAGGGGAAGGCTCAAAGAGCCGCATGCGGCTCCAGAGCCGCAGGTTGCCGACCTGTGGTCTATATACACACAAACAGCTTGTAATACCATCGCTCCTGACCATTTGAATTGATACCTATAGGATTACAGAGTACTATGCTACTCCAGCCTGGAGGTGGTGGATTCCATTGTGTGTAATAATAAGGATGAGGCATTCCTACAAATGGAAAGCTAGTACAGTAACAGTACTGTTAGTTTTGAATTTGCAGATAGTTCTTTCTAGGGAGGAACATCTAAAACAATGTTTGTTCTTTCTAGGGAGGAACATCTAAAACAATGTTTTTTTCTGTTCGGTCCACTCTACAGCTTCAATAGTTTACCATCTTATTGTGCTTCCATTAATAAGCCATCTATATTATGAGGGAAAAGAGTTCAGAATCACGTGAAAAGTTCTGAAATTCCAAGTTATAAGAGCAAACAGAAATAGAGTTACTTTTTGCCTCTTTCTTTCCCCAAGAACTTCAATCTTTGCCAGTCTGAGCCAACAATTCTCATAATTCCAAGAGAATAAACCTTTTAACTGGGAATTGTGGGCCTCTTAAAATTCACACACCTGAAAGGCTCTCATTTGAGAAACCCAGTCTGCTGAATTTGGTCCTTGTTTGAAATTGAATTTGTAGGGGTTGCTTTCCAAACTGAAAAAGTTTCAGAAGACCTCATGCAAACCTCTGCAAGTTTCTGCATTATTACTAAAAGACCCACCGTGGACCGGACGCATCATGCCAAAACCGTGCCCAGCCCATTGCCGGCAATGGAAAAAAAGTCACGTCACATCATGTGATGTTGTGAGTTTGACACCCCTGGTATAGATGGTTAAAAAAAATATCAGGGATATATTGGTTTCAAATTGGGAAAAGTTCCTGGAATTCTTACGATCTCAAGAACTTTCAATAAATCTGGCTAAAGAAAACTCAAAACTATATTCAGAAGAATTATTTTTCAGGTTTTGGCAGCTCCCAAAAGCCTTCTAGTACTGCAACTTAAGTATTTTAATGGCTCACAGCAGCACCAGAGAAAAAATGGCAGTACTTCTGCTTCTGAAAAGATTAGAAATGATTGTAAAGCAATGGCTAAAGTTGTGTTTCTCAACCTTGGCAACTTGAAGATGAGTGGACTTCAACTCCCAGAATTCCCCAGCCAGCGTACATGACGTCAACCTTGCATGGTGGTGTGGGGATTTTGGGACTTGAAGTCCACATCCTTGCAGCTACATCATATACAAAGAAACATGCCACTCCTGCTTCCATCATATTAGATGGGGTGGGGGAGAGGAAATTAAGCAAGCTGAGGCAATTCATCTACGTCTCCTATAATTCTGAGACCCCGGCTATCTCTGCAAAATTCAGGCGAGGATAGCACAACATCTAGCTCAGTTTAAGTCCAGGGGTAGAATAGAATTAGATGATCACGCAACTGTTTTGGTCAAGCAGCAAAAGAGCGCCTGCTGTTGGTGGCGAGTGGTCCTGCTCCCCCACCCTGCCCTCTTTATTCATGACGGCCACAAATACGTTCAAGATGATCCTCCCTGTATCCCAGCTTCTGGGTGTGGTAGATGTTTGTCTAATGGACCCTTCTGATAGAAGTTCAGGTAGCTCCAGGACCTTCTGGAGGTTAGAAGAAAGAGCCCAAATGGTTGGTAGCCTGCCTGGACACAGGGGGGTTCTGATAGAGGTTCCCCCCTGTGGAATTCCAATACGGGGCAGGTGGGCCGAAAAAACCTGAGGATGAGGCGGGCATCTGCGTGCTATGGCCCAGGCCGAAGCCCACCTTCTGCTGGTGGTAGGGGGGCAGGTAAGGCAGTTCCGTGTGATGGTATTTGTAAAGGGCTGGCTCGCCCGGCTGCCCCTGCTGGGCTTGGTTGATGCCCTGGAAGTCGAACTTGTAGGCGTAGCGCTTGCCATGCACTTTGGTCATGATGTTCTTGTCATAGTAGTAGCGCAACGCCCGGCTCAGCTTATCATAGTTCATGTTGGGCTTACTCTTGCGCTCGCCCCATCGCCGCGCCACTTCATCGGGATCTGTCATCTTGAACTCACCGTTGGTCCCCTCCCAGGTGATGCAGCTGGCATTGTTGCTGTCCGAGAGCAACTCCAGGAGAAATTGCCACAGCTGGATCTGACCGCTCCCTGTCGGAGACAGAACAACTCTTTTAGCCTCAGCCTCAGCTTGTTCCTGAGATGACCAAGGCCAGGGGTAGGCAACCTTGGCTCTTTTATGACTCGTGGACTTCAACTCCCAGAATTCCTGAGCCAGCTATGCTATGCTGGCTCAGGAATTCTGGGAGTTGAAGTCCACGAGTCATAAAAGAGCCAAGGTTGCCTACCCTGACCAAGGCGCTCACTTCAACCCATCTTCTGCTGGGCAAGAGAGATCTTGGGATGTTAGTTGGCAACTGTCAGCTTCCCAAGTAGACCAGACAGGAAGCATAACCAGATGAGCTAATTCTACTTTATTTTAAGGCTACATTAACAAAATCTTGCAAGCCTGAAAGTGCCATTCTCTCAATGACTATCAGTGGGTGAAGTCGCCCATTCCACTGACTGCTTTTCCAGGCTGAGAGAAGACATTTCTGACTGCTGGATGCTAAATGCTCCACCCCCGAGACAAAAGATGGATGGCTCACCTGGGTTTGCCAAGCGACTGCTAGTGGGCCCAAGGACTTGGTATGGATCTACTGGGAAGAAGAAGGAAATAAGAGGAACTAGAATTGGATGCAATTGAATGAACTGGATGCATCGGGAAGATCCCCTCCCGATCTCTTCCTTATACTTGGAAGAGCTCACAAATTCTCTCTCCTAGCCCTATCCTAGTTGCTATGATAGCCCTCTGATTCAGGCTATAATCCAGCAGACAACTGACATGACTGAAGTCTTATCTGACTCTATGTGCTAGCTTGCCATGCTTGCTTTCTAGGTGTAGGGACTACTACAGGAAATTAGTTAACACTTTCCCTTCTCCAGATGAAATGATACAGGCCAAACATGATTAACTCAAGGAGTGGGTGCATTACTCCCCTTGCCATACTTCTGGGTTAGCAGCTAATTTCAAAGCAATTAATTTGCTCCTGAAATAGGAAAAAAAAGCACAAACAGAAAGCTGTTTACTGCAGGGCCAGACAAACAAATATTTGCTGAGCATTATGGATCGTGCCACTAGTAAAGCTGAAGGAATGCAGTCCGATGTGAAACACAAAAAAAGAAAAGCAGAAGATGGCGGAGGACACAGGGCCAGAGGTATCTAGGCGTACCAGGTGCAATGCGTGTAGAATCGGGGATCCGGCTCACCGTCTGGATCTGCGGTGGGGAACCTTCAAAGTGGAAGATGAAAATAAACAAGAGCTAAGTGGCGGCTAAGATGCCATTTCTTTAGTCCAGGTTGTCCTGGTATCCCACTGCTTAGGTGGAAGCCAAGCAGGATCAGATCAAGGATCCCTTCAATCCAGCCACCTGCACCCACCTGCACATTACAGAGGAACCAGAGAAATCCACGTGCAGGACAGGAATGCATTAAGATTATTGCATTCGTGGTCCTCATTAACTGGGCACTGAGCGTGAAATTGCAAATTACAATTCTGGAATAAAAGTAGAATCCCAATGGCACAGCAGTGCTTACATGCTTCACTCCAGTTTCAGGGGAGTGTGTGTGTGGTGGGGTTGTACTGATTACTGAATTAAGCTACATCCTTGATTTGCAGAATATTTTAATCTAATTAAGCAGTCCTGGTTTGTATAGCATCAGTTCAGTGTTTCTCAATCTTGACAATTTTAACGTGTGGACATTGCTGGCTGGGGAATTCTGAGATATGACTCCACACATGATAAAGTTGTCAAAGTTGAGAAACACTACAGCAGATTATAAACCAATCACGTGACACACACAGAGAGACTTAGTCTTCCTGACAGTGTTCACACAATAATTTAATCAGGTCACTTAAAGACCACGTGCTTACGTTCATACATGCATACTACTTTTGATTAATGTAAATCTTAACTAGCTCATTTGTATCTTAGCATACTATACAAACCAGGACTGTTTAATTAGATTATGGGTCACAGTATTCTGCAAATCAAGGATGTAGCTTAACTCAGTAATCAGATCAAATACGTGATCACAGTTTTTGTCACAGAAATAGCTGCTGTAATTAACAATTACTTTAGTAGATTCTTTTTGAAAAACCATCTAAATTCTATTGCCTATGTGCTGTATGGAAAAGGTACTTTTTGTTGTCTCTCTTGAAGAGCACCAATTACACTTCTTTAGACAACTCCAGAATTTAGTATGATTTGATTTTACCTTCCCCAATATCCAGACATGCACAGTACAATTACTAAGTCCACACAAGCCACCTAACACCACTCTCTCCCCAGTCGACCAGCTGGTTTGAATCCAGTCATAAACTTAGCTCACACAGGCTAAGCCCTGATCTGGTTCATGGAACAAACAATAATTGTCTGGGTCTGCATAGCAAAATCCTGGAATGTGGCTTGCGAACCATGGTAGTCAGCCCGGCACATTACACTACTAAACCAAACCTAACCAAACCACAGGATGATATAATTCAAGGTGTACGAGTGAAATTAGGAACTGTACCTTTGGGAGTGGTGTTTACCGCACTACTGCCCCAGCTACTTCGTCGGATTTCATCATATGCAGACTCTACAGCAAATGAAGAGCAAAGATGACATATTGGGCAAAAAAAAAAAAAAGACCATTTAGATCAGGGTTTCTTAGAAGTGTGGGCTTCAGCTCCCAGAATTGCCCAGCTAAGTTGCAAAGTTGGAAAATCGCTGATTTGGATTGAGAAGAGGGCTACAACAGAGTTAAAGGCCTGATTGTTGTGGTGAAGCAGGGTCATCATGTGACTGTGCATGATTTTACAACCCCTTTTGCAGGGGTTGTTAAGTGAACCCATTGTCCCCTATGGGGCATTTTTTTGCTGCAAATTGAAAGTAATAAAATGAGTGAAAAACTCCAGGTTCAATTGTTACTTAGCAAGCAAGCAACTGTTACCAAGCTAGCTTCACTTCCTCTTCTGTCCTCACTGTTCTGATCTTTGAAATGGGTCTGTCGGTTTCTGTTACGAACTTACCAGTTTTGACTTGGGCCCTTGGTGGAGGCGGAGGGGGCTGCTGGGTAATAACTGGTGCAGATGGATAAGTGAAAGTGGGACTGCCTGGCAGAAGAAGGAAGGAAAACAAGAAGAAATGATGAGAAAGGGAAAAGCTCCCTTTGCTTTCAATATCCCTCCCCTTTAAAAAAAAAAATACAAAATCTTCCAGTGACAAAAGGTCCAGTGACAAAGTGAATGGTTGAACCTGGCATTAGGATTCTGCATGCAAAGTTTTTTTAAAAATTAATGATAAATCAGGATTATGGAGGGCCAGCAGTATTTTGCTTGCAGAGATAAACGGGTTTTATGATGGAATTCAAACTGAGCCAGTTTGGTGCAGTGGTGAAGATGCTGACCTAAAAACCAGGAGATGGTGAGTTCTAGTCCTGCCTCAACACTGAAAGTGGTTGAGTGACTTTGGGCCAATCACCAGGAGACGGTGAGTTCTAGTTCCACCTCAGCCATGAAAGCCGGCTGGGTGAATTAGGGCTAAGAATTCTCTCAAACCCTGCTCATGCCACCTGACAAAGTTATTATGGGGGAAATAGAAGGAGAAAGGAGTATTAGGTATGTGCACCACTTTTGAGTTATTTATAAAATAATAAAGGTGGCATTAAAAAAAAATCTAATAAATAAATTCTCCAAACCATGAGATTCAGATTCTCACCGCCCAGCAGAGACAACACCCCTTTGTAAAGAAACTTGGCACCACATCCCCGATTCCCAAGAGCGGAGTTTTCCCATCCTGAGCTTGTTCATGGTCTTACTCTGGCGCAGGTAGGTGAGGTGAGACAGCAAGATTTCGGTGTTGTAAGGCGATGTGAGGCGTAGGAACCCTTCCTTCCCAAGTTTGCAGAGCTCCTTTCCATCTATGTGCTGAAAGAGGCTGGTTTCGATGTCAGGAAGGCCATACTCCTTCACCGCCCAGTCCAGCCACTGACGGACATGATCGCAACTCCAAACACCTGGATCTGGGGGGGGGAGCGGAGAGAAGAGATTGGAGCAAGAAGTGAAGAGGTCCGTGGCCAGGGGACTTAGCAGGTCTTAGAAGGTCTTAGCAGGTCTTAGAAGCTGCTAAGTTGGAGTGCAATGGGGAAGCGTGAGATCTGGCAGAACGAGATGGAACCTTTAAATGGTGAGGGAGCGGTCTTCGACCAACCTGCTGGAACGATGACCTTCTCCTCTCTGGATGAAGAAACGGGGGGACTACTACGTTGGTTGGGGTATCCAGCTGGGTAGGGCACTTGGGATGTGTCGACTGCAGCTTCCACTTTGTTCCTGCGGGTGGCACTGCACTCCACCGGTGATTGTCTGCTGGGGTGGGGGGAGAAAGAGAGGTAGGTATAGGACAGGGGTGGGGAACCTGGGCTCTTTTATGACTTGTGGACTGGCTCAGGAATTCTGGGAGTTGAAGTCCACAATCATAAAAGAGCCCAGGTTCCCTACTCCTGGTATAGGAGAAGGGGTTAGCAGGTCCTCACTCAGGATGGGCAAGGTGAGCAGCTGTGGAGCATCCCCCAAAGCGCCATAGATTTTGTGAAGCCAAGAAGGGACTCCCTTGTAAATCTCATATTTTCATCCTATAAATGAGTGTTTCTCAACCTTGGCAACTTTAAGATATGTGGATTTCAACTCCCAGAATTTTGGATGTTGAAGCCCGGACATCTTAAAGTTGCCACGGTTGAGAAACACTGTTGTAAAACCACTCTCCCAAGCCTCAACCTTTAGCAGGAGATGCATTTTAGGAGCACAATAAAAGAACCAAGGTTGCCCACCCCTGTTCTAGATCATTCTAGATCAATCAGGCTGCCAACTTGTTTGCCCTGAAGGCAACATCAGCTTCTTTGGGTTAGTCCCTCTTGTTCAGTCCAAAAACTAGTGTGTGGTGGTGGAGAAGGTGCTGGACCAGAACCTGGGAGACTGTGAGTTTGTGTCCTCTCTTAGGCACGGAAAGTGGTTGAATGTCTTTGGGGCAATCACTCTCAGCCTCATCCACCTCTCAGAGAGGATGCCATGGGGAAAACAGAAGGTGATTATGGATGCCAATCTGAGTTTTACAAAATAAAGGCAGGATATGCTTCTAACACAGTGGTTCTCAACCTGTGGGTCAGGACCCCATTTGGGGTCGAACTACCATTTCACGGGGGTCACCAAACAACGCAGTCTGCCATTTTTTTCCCCCTTTTCTTTAGCTGTGCTATTCCCTTTTATTCTATTGGCTTTTGAAAGCCAATAGAATAGACTCTCTTGAATAGAGGCTAATTCTATTGGCTTTCAAAAGCCAATAGGAATTGTCCAGGCTGTCTCCGCCCTGCTGAGCCCGCCAAAAGTCCCATTCTGCAAACGGTGCTGCAAGTTGTCTGCAGCGAAGGCGAGCTGTCTGGAAGTTTCCACCCCTCCCTGCTGAGCAACTACTAAAAATGTAAGTAAAAGAGGGCCAGGGGTGGGAGGTGGGAGGCCAGCGGGCACAGGGAGGGTTGCTGGCGCGCGTGGGGCCCGGCGGGTGCCTTACCTCCCTTGGGCTGGGCCAGCTGGTGGCCCAGCCGGTGGTCGGCCTGCGCCGTCTCTGCCGCTTGCCAGCTACGCCTCAGCTGGCGCAGGGGGCGGCACCACGCATGCATGGTGCTCCCGGGCAGGGAAGTCCTCGACCTACGATCGGTTGGGTAGTCCTCAACTTACGACCGGTTGGGGTCGCGGCATTAAAAAGGTTGAGAACCACTGTTCTAACACAATGTTTCTCAACCACAGCAACTTTAAGCTTTGTGGATTTCAGCTCCCAGAATTCCACAGCCAGTATGGGGATGGCTGCATGGCTGCATGTCCGGCTGGGGAATTCTGGGAATTGAAATCCACTCAGTTTAAAGTTTATGAGGTTGAGCAACATTGGTTTAATGCAGTGTTTCTCAATCTTGGCAGCTTGAAGATATGTGGACTTCAATTGCCGGAATTCCCCAGCCAGCAAGTCTGGCTGGGGAATTCTGGGAACTGAAGTCTACACGTCTTTAAGGTCTAATGAAACAAACAAAAAAAACCAAATAAGTCCAAAATCTGGACTGTTGCTCTCTACGGCTGCTAACCTGCTGGAGCAATTGACTTGCTCGTTCTCCTGTTTCACCATATGGCCTCGGTTATTGACCTGGGTGGACCATGAGGCGTCTTCCAACCCTGGGTCTTCCTTGCTCCCATAATCATTCACTGGAGACACCTCTGTCTTCAAGAGGTGCGAAGAGGCAAAGGCTGGGTCAAAGATGGACTGATCCTCACTTACAACTGACAGCGCCTCCTGCAGGAGAAAAGGAGAGAAACAACAGGAAAAGATCAGAGGGATGATTAAGAAAATCAGAGGAGATCTACCCACATTGGGCAGAAGAGAAATCAAATCCATTTCCTGGTTGCAAGACCCTGAACTTAGTAAAAAATAAATTCTGAAGGTCACATAACATGTTACATCCAAATTAGCAGTATTGTTGTTTAATGTGACAGCATTACTCGTTTATCACCCTTCCTACAACCTACCAACCCACAAGCAACCCACAAGCAACTCACTCCCTGTGTGAACCCTGCAGACTTTTGAATGAAGGATCTGAATTCAGGATTTAGTTTTAACGTCCTGGAGGCCTGAATGGAAATCACAAACTTTCCATGCAGGAAATCCACGCCCGGTTATTCATTTCCGGCCCTGTTCAGATAAATGGGAATCAAGAATCGGAGTCAGTTGCTTGCACATTACTAAAAAAAAACCCTATCAGCAGGTCCTAGACTGGGTGGACCAAAAAAATCCTTGGCTGATAGCAACAAAGAACATCCTTGGAGCAGACAGCAGAGTTAGGAGTTGCCTGCTGTCAATTTCCATTGGTGTTTCTCAACCTTGGCAATTTTAAGATCTTCCGAACTTCAACTCCCAGAATTCCCCAGCCAGCATGGTGGGGATGATGAGATCAAAGCTCTGCTTATTTTTTATGCAATGCACCTAGAAAAACAGACAGAGCTTCAGTTGCACCATTGCAATTATGAGCTTGGCCATCCTCTTCAGTGGTTGCATCATGGCTGCCATCTTGACTTTTCTGACCACACCCGGCCTCCAAGGCTGTTATAAGAATGAAATGAAAGGCGCCTTTTACATTCCTGTCACCTCCTTGCAAGAAAGCTATCTGTGTCTGTTTTGGTAGCCTGGATTTCTCTAATTCAAAACATCTATTTTAATGCACAGCATTCAAACAGCAGGGAAGAAATCCAGCAGCAAACAGGCGGGTGAGATGTGCAGAGAAAAAAACAAACTTTGTTGACAGGAGAAAGAAGATCAGAGTCACCCTAAAGCAACTTTAAAAGAATTTAACTAGTGATTCCGACAATGAGAGACCCCTCTTGGGAGACTATTATCTAGAAATGTTATTTCTGTCAATTATTTAGAAATTGCCAAAGATTGTGAATATCTCTCCCTTTTTTTTAAGAGTGGTAGGATTCTGGTGATAGAAGAGGAGAAGGTGCATTTATAAAATTGTAGTGGAAGGCAGTAAATGCTGGAATGAGTCCTTGGCTCTCTGATCGTTTTGAAAATTCTGAAAATGAATGAAATGTAGGTAGTCATTCACTTATGATCACAACTAGAACCTACTTTGCTCTCCCTGCCGCTAAACAGGCCCAGCCTAAAAGGAAACAGAAGTGTGAATGTAGAAACCTGGGGGGGGGGGTGATGTGTGACTGTGATGAAGGAGAGAGAAACTGCATACAGAAAAGAAAATGAATGGAATAGTCCTTGACTTATGAAGGACCAGGATGCTGTTGCTAAGCAATGTAGTTGTTAAGGGACTTGCACCTGATTTTATGGCTTTTTGCTGCAGTCATTAACAAAATCACAGAGATGAGAAAGAAAGAAAGAAAGAAAGAAAGAAAGAAAGAAAGAAAGAAAGAAAGAAAGAAAGAAAGAAAGAGAGAGAGAGGGAGAGAGAAAGAAAGACAGAAAGAAAGAAAGAAAGAAAGAAAGGGAGAGAGAAATAAATAAATAAATAAAGAGAGAGAGAAAGAAAGAAAGAAAGAAAGAAAGAAAGAAAGAAAGAAAGAAAAAGAGAAGGAAGGAAGAGAGAAAGAAAAAGAAAGAAAGAAAGAAAGAAAGAAAGAAAGAAAGAAAGAAAGAAAGAAAGAAAGAAAGAAAGAAAGAAAGAAAGAAAGAAAATAAATTCTACCAGGTCCTTTGTCTTTTCTTATGGGAAGCCCCCTGGGAAGGTTGCAAATGGAGATCATGTGACAGTGGACCCTGCATCTGTTGTAAATACCCCCCAAATTTGATCACATAACAATGGGGGATGCTGTAACGATTGGAAGGACTAAGTTGGCTTTTTCAGCACCATTGTAATTTTGAACGTCATTAAACAAATGGTCGTAAAGACTTCCTGTGATCTAAATCTCCCCAATTTCTATTTCCCCCCCCCCTCTTTTACACTTTTATTTCTTTTTGATTTTCTTTTTTCTTACTTTATATTACATAGCTGACGTTTCCCGAGGCTGTGCCATGTGATTTTTTTTCACCTCTCTGCCTTGTCTGCTGCTGGGATTCCTGGGCAGTGACACAACTTTGGCACAGGAAATAGCAGGGAGGTGGCAGCTATACAGCTGAGTCGAGAAAGAAAAAGAAAGAAAAGAAAAGAAAAGAAAAGAAAGAAAGAAAGAAAGAAAGAAAGAAAGAAAGAAAGAAAGAAAGAAAGAAAGAAAGAAAGAAAGGAGGGAGGGAGAAAGAAAAGAAAAATTTTACCAGCACAGGCAGTAAAAAGGAATATATTCAATTGCTCTGATAAAAGATTTGCTCTGTGTTACTGGCCAAGTCTGCAAAGTTAATGTATTTGATAGGGGAAGAACTGAAGCAGAATATGACAGCGTCCTTGGGATGGTAGTTATACAGCTGTCAGGCACCTGATGGCCTGTCAGAAACACGGCAAGTTTCTTCCCTGTCAGTCTTTGAAATAAAACAGGCAATAACAAGAAACTTAAATTCCCATCATTCAAATAATGGTTGTACACCTGCAGGAGCTCCATTCACTTCTGTATCCATCCTTCTGACCTGCAAGGTCTGTAGTGAAATTACGCTACAATAATCCGCCAGACATAAGGAGTGCTCAGCCCTTGCTGATAAACCCAACTCTTTCTCGGTTTAAACCACAGAACTGGGAGGAGGCCCCGCTGAAGGTAGAGGCTGCAATCACTGAACATGCTTAACCTGGTTGCAAAGTTAACTCACTTTCTACGTGTGCGCAAAACAGTTATTCCTAAAGAAACCCTGCAGGCTGGATTTGCCCAACACACTGAGCTGCAAGCCGATGAACTGAAGGGAAAATGCAACTGAGATTTGCATATTGCACACAAGGAGTTGTGAGGTTTGTAGCTAATCTACATAAAGGTTTTGTGACCAGAAAGCCAGCAGCTCTGGTTTTGAGTTTTTTTTTACATAAAGGTTATTTTTTTAAAGAGGCTAAGATCTAGGAGAGATACAAGCAAATTTACCTTTTAAGATGATGCTTTATGTCACCACTCGCCACGTCACGTGTCGTATTGTGACGTATCGCAACTTTTTTTGCATTGCCCGAGCTAGGGTGAGTGCGGCCTCCACATGACGCAACCCCCTGCGGGCTGACAATTTGAACCCCTGCTTTATGTCATTTGGATCACTATCTGGGTAGTTCTCTACTTATGAATTTGGGAACAGAATTTCCATTGCTAAGCAATGAAGTTGTTAAGTGCGTTGCGTCGTCCCATTTCATCTCTTTTTTGCCACGGTTCCTAAGCAGTTGCTAAGTGATTCCCATGATCATTAAGCAGAGCTGGCTTCCCCTATTGATTTTGCTGATCAGAATCCAGCTGGAAAGGTTGCAAATGGTGATCCCATGGCCCTTGGATGCTGCCACCATCATAAATACACGCTTGTTCCCCAGGACCAGAATTTTGATCACGTTATTAATGGAGACGCTGTGAGGGTCATAAATATAAGGACCCTTCATAAGCCTTTTTTTTTTCAGTGTCATTATAACTTCAAATGGTTGCTGAACGAATGCTTGTAAGTCAAGGATTAACTGTAAAGCCAGCAGTGTTTTGGTAGCAAAGCACATCTGCCTTTGCTTGCTTTGGGGAAAAAAAGGAAAAAAGCACTCTGCCTATGCCCCTGAGTTGCCTTTGTTCAGGACATTTTGGATTCTCCAAGGCCGCGCCCTGAGACTTGCAAAACAAATGCTTGCTCCAATGTGGTCTTTGTGGAGAATCTGAGTCTGACACCCCCACCCCCCACCTCCAAACCTGGGTGCTGCAAGCTCTGTCAAGAACAAAAAGCAGAAGTTGGCCGGGTGCTGAACTGACATTTCTGCAAAGCAGCCTTGATAGGAGATCCTATCGTCAGATGCAAAAGCTCAGAACTGGGGGCGGGGGGGGGGGAGAGGAACTGTGCTTGGCTTCTCCACAAAACTCTCCGTTCGTTCTTCAGCTGGTCAAGCAAAGCTCTCAGGGCCCAAAACCAGATTTTTCAAACTTGGCCATTTTAAAATGAGTGGTTTTCAACTCCCAGAGTTCCCCAGCTGGCCCTTGAAATCCATACATCTTGAAGTAGCCAAGTTTGAAAAACACAGGCCTAGAAGATTCAACTAATCATCCGGGAGATAAATCTGGTTCTTCTGGTGAACTCTGGTTTATGCCAAAGCACAAGAGGTGTTTTTTCTAAGACCAATGACCAAATGAAGAATCTCTAGGCCGGTCTGCTCCATCATGGATGCCGTACAGACTTCAGCTCCCAGAATTCCTCAGAATTCAGGGAATCATAGCCAGAAAAGTGCCCATGTTGGAGCAGGCTAGCCTAGAAGGAAGAACTGCTGTTTTTTTTTATGGCTGACTTTGTACAATGTATTAAATTAGAATGGGAACTGCTTGGCTTGGGGTTAGACCAGTGTTTCTCAACTTTGGTAATTTTAAGAAGTGTGGACTTCAGCTGCCAGAATTCCCCAGCCAGCATGCTGTATAATAGAGTAAGCTGGGGAATTCTGGGAGTTGAAGTTCATATTCCTTAAAGTTGTCAAGATTGAGAAACACACTGGCTTAGACTGTTGTAGACAGTCTAAGTAGACTAAGTGGACCATGATTTCTTAGCCTGATTTAGAATGATGCATCAATTAACTCCATATGTATGAAGCATGGAGGTGCAATGTTTGCGATGCAATGGTCCAAGGGGTTCTAGATGGCAGTAAAGGACTTCCTTTCTCTCTTTGCTGCCATCTATGCCTCTTCTGCAATATTGCAGCCTGGATCTGT